ATTTTTTTGACAAGAAACTGTAAAATTGTACATATGACGATTCACTGACTTCACTGCCAAAACAAGAAAAAAGCTCTTTGAAAATTCCATGATACCAGTTAGGCAAAAAGTACGAAACTTGTATGATTAGTAATTTTTCATAGACTTAGTTTATGGAATTGTGTGGTTAGTATTTTTAGTTTTTGGAGGACAAACCGGGACAGTTTAGCCAGTACTGTGAAGAAACTGTGAAATAATAACAAAAAGTTTTTTAAAAAATGACAGCCTATGAAGACTGAAAAAATGTAAACAATTGGGAGATTAAAGAGATTTTTAAAATAAGACACTTATTGAACAAAACGAATGAAATAAACAAAAAAAACTAGGAAAAATAATTCGCAGTTTAAAACTTGATTTGAGGCGAGTTTACTTTTTTTTATTTTACTGAAAACTTTTGAGTTTTGGTGTCATCTAAAAGAGACTCCATTTTAAAAGTATGAAAAGCTACACTCTTTGATGAGCTGAATTTTTTTGTTCTAAAACAAAATATATCTATCTACTTCAAACCTAAATTTTGAGTTGCTCTGCTAAATTTTATTTCAGTTACTTATAGATTCGGGAAAATTTTTCATCCGGAAACTTACAGAATTTTACATTGCGCCCGCCAAAAACTGTCAGAAATGAGTTCTAATTTTTCTGCTCTGTGCACAATGAACTGACTCTCTTTCCATTTTTAACACTCAATTTTCTGAAAAAAAAACATTGGACTCATTTAGAATGTTGCCTGCTGAATTTAAACTACAAAAACAGGGGACACTGTAAAAAGCAACAAAATTGGTCAAAAGATAAACGTTTTTAGTGCAGGGAGATACCTACAAGTTTTGTGTTCGAGAAAGCATCTTTCTCGAATACTGAGTTATACTTGCGAAGACTGGACAAGTTCCCTAAACTGTGAATACCAACGGATGAACGCCCGCTGAATTTTAGATATAACAGATGTTGGGTAACTACTCACTGAACTCCAACTTTTCAATTTTTCAGGGATGCTACATGAATGTGATTAGATTAGGCAAGTGTAAACACGCCAAAGCAAAAATCATTGTTCCTACTTTTGCTACGAACATAACGGAATATTTGTGCTAGAGGTGGTTTTTTTCTTCAGACAAAATTCGACATTTTGACTAGTTTTTTTTTTGACGGATTCGTTTAATATATCATTCAAAAAGTATTGTTGTCGTGAGCTTAAAATTGAAAAGATATTTTGACTGTGATCATTTTTTAAAAGGTTATAGCGGTTTTAAAAATTGGCATTTTGGCCAATTTGGGACGCTTAGCGCGCGATATATTTCGCGCTATTAAAGCGTAAGCGGAGATTTAATCCGTCTTAGAAATCGTTCTAAAATGGTTGAAGGAAAATTGTTTGACGTACTTGATCTGTTATGTTACTAGTACCGAAATTTATCAATTTGTACTTTATATGGCGTGTGGGTTATTTTACATGGCGTGTTTTGAAAATCTGTAGTTTGAAAAACAACAACTTTCATTATAATTTTATTGCATTTAACTTTTTCAGGTTACCACTGCTCCACAGACCTTAAAAGGAAGTCGGAACATTCAGGGCTTTGCCCTAATACGAGCAGTTATGTTCCATTTTTCACATTACAATCCACGAGAACAATTTTGTTTGAAATGGAACCTATAAAAACAACGAGGGATCAAGCGGCAACAACTGCGAACTGCGGAAAACTCCATTTACTCTTCAAAGGGCAATTTTACGAGGCTAAACCGTGTTTTATGTGAACTGTAAGCGGACTTGTCGCGGTATCTGCAAAGTTGCTTCTGTTTTTTTTGCGGCTTTGGATTCCACGATCAAATAGCTAAAACAATCTAGTGATCAAAATCTCTCCAAAAAACAGGCAAATTTGCAGAATCCGGAACGGTTTGTGGAATCTACGAGAAAATAATATTATAAGTGCTTAGTAAAGTTACATTTTTGTGGAATCTGCAACTGTGAGCGGAATCATCAATTTGTAAGCGGTATCCGCAAATTGCAAATGGAATCTACAAAAATTTGCTGAATCTGCTTGCGTTTGCGCAATTCGCCTATAAATTGCAGAATCTAGAACAACTAGTTATTCTGCTCGTTGTGGAATACGCGACAAAACCTAAACAAGACTGCTCGTAAAAAATTCAATGAAATAAAACAAAATGAAAAATTTTTTTTCTCTAAAATTTGAAATTGTTTATGAAAATCATCCCCCCACACGCCATATAAAGTACAAAACCATAGATTTCACTCCTTGTAACAAACCAGTTATGGCAAATATGCTTCTTTTAACCAATTTGGAACAATTTCTAAGACGGATTAACTATCCGCTTACGCTTTAATAGCATGAAATATATCGCGCGTTAATTGTCCCAAATTGGCCAAATGGCAATCTTTAAACCCCCGTAACTTTACGAAAAATGATCACAGGTAAAATATCTTTTCAAATTTGAGCCCAGGACAACAATACCTTTCGAATGATATTAAAAAAATTCCGTCACAAAAGGCTAGTTGAAAAGTCGAAATTTGTCTGAAGAAAAAAAAACCCACCCCGAGCACAAAGATTCCGTTACCTTCGTATCGAAAGTCGGAACAATAACAAAATTTAAGTTACAGATATTTGTGCACTGAATCTACAGAATATTTGTAAGTGGAACCATTACATTTTAGAACACGTTTGGAGATTCCAATGAATTCCCGTGAACTCTGAACTCCTGACGCCAAAATCCGGTGCATAGTTTGGTCTCGTAACGAAGCAATAACTAGTGGACCACGTTCTTACCATCGCCATCAACAAAAGTTCTTGGAATAGTTTTGAAAAAGCTAGAGCCAAGTTTCTCAACTGTATGAGGTATGCAAAATGGATGCAACCAAAATTATCAATGCCAAGCAATCAAATCGAGGTACAAAAAAAACTCGTTTTCAGAATGGAATATATATCAAGTTTTTCTTTGAAGATCACATAAGGTCGGAAATCTATGATTGTTTCAACCAGGGGCGGATCTAGGATTTTCTCGAGGGGGGTGTGATTTTCAAAAAATTTTCGAAAATTTTAAAATTTTGACGACTTTTTTTTTTAGGTCTATCAGATTGATTTTCCGAGCTCTCCCAAAGCAGTAAAAAGACCCTGTTTTGGCCAAATTTTCTGCGCCGCAGGCAATTTTTTGAAAAAACAGGTCAAAAAAGCAGTTTTTGGGCACTTTTTGGAAAATTTTGAAAAAAAATGCGCGTTTTTTTTGGTGCGCGCTCCCCCTCAAAACTAGAATATATTGGCGCCGCAGGGGTTGGCAGGGGTTGGCAGGGGTTCGAATCCCTGAAGGGAGAGCGTCCGCCCCCCCCCCCCCCCCCGCCCCCTCCCCCCCTTAATCCGCCCCTGGTTTCAACTTTCAACAGCTAAGTGGCAATTCAGGTAATAGATTTTAAAAGTAATGTTTTTTCGCCTGATGAAATTTCGACTATTTGAAATCACACCTCTTTTTTTTTATTTTTTCTAAAAGCTCAAATTTCCTTGAGGTATCAAATTTTGCAATTCTGGCTAAATTGTATTAATTTTTCAGCGTATCTAAGAATTTATCAATAAATCGAAACGCTTAAGCATGCATTTTGCATGTGGAGGTTGATTCCGCATTATCAAAATCAAACTAAAGCAAACTGAGGCAATTAAATTGTTCCCGGTAATTCCATTTTAAAAAAACATTTGTAACATTGAGTACATAGTACTCGCTGTTTAGGGGCACAAAATACAAGCTAATTTTATAGAGATGACGTTTTTCTTGTAAAATATAACTAAAAGGGGAACTGAGATTTGGATTCAGTGATCATATTTTTTGCAGCATAGAAATTGCCGTCTGAACAGTTTTCTGTTTGTTCTTGTTTTTGTTTTTATATGTGGTTTGAAAACCGGAGAAGAGCATGCATTGAATAAGGCCTACCCGACTTTGGTCAGAAGGACAGTTCTTCAGTTCGAGGCTCAGTTCCTTCAGATGAAAACAACAATTCTCGTTCCATAAAAATCCGTCACTCTTCAGAAAGGAAACAGCGGCGATCCTCTTTAAGGAGCTGAACAGATTTTATGTTGATCCTGTACTTCGAGCATAAATGATCTCAAAATCGGTATCATTGTTTGACCATGTAAGTGAAACGTCAGTTGGAACATTCAATGTTTTTCCCTGATACTAGATGTCTCATCATTCTTGACAACGTTCTTGTGAACATTCAAGAGTGATTTAAATGTGACCAAAACGGTTCGATGTGACAAAATTGATTCGATGTACGATTTTTATGATGAAAACTTGTAAAGTTTATCAAAAACTTACACAATGTCAAGGAAATATTTTCGATAATAGCCCGGTAATTAATAAAATTCAAATTCTTATAAGAACTTGAATTTAGATATAAGATACCTATAAGAAAATGAATTGAAGTGTAAATTGAGTATAAGAATATGAATTGTGATGCAAGAAATTGAACGGAAAAAACATTCGGATATACGTACCTCCAAGTGACGAGATATGTAGACTTTCCGAAACCTTCTGAGCTTCAGCTGAGTTTTTTCGCTCAGTAACCAAATGAAAAAAATAAGATCATCAAATCTCACTTGATTTACAAACAAATTTTTTTAACTGTAACTGTTTAGTCATAGTTAGGTCATAAATATGAGGCCATAAGTCGAAACAAGAACATCAAATACATGTGTTCTGAAACTGGGGCCCTATATGAGTTACGCACACTCTCAAGAGTTTCAACTGAGCTGTTTTGCATGACAATCGTTTGACGACAAAGATGCATCGAGACTGCTTTTATTTACTATCAAATATTCTGATTATTTTTTCCAGGTAAAGATAACCTTGAAATTACTATTACAATGGGTTTCTACGGTGCTACCATTTTTGAGCATTTTTGAGCTATTTGCGCTGTTTATGCAACTTCCTTACGACTAGAAAATCTGAGCCGCAATTTAAAGTCTGATAAGATTCTTATTAAATTCATTCAAAACTTTGAATTGATTCTTACATGATTTCATAATATTTTGAAGTTTAGTAACACCAGAAAGATATTATAGGTCTTTGTGAAAAAGTTCCTTTTCCAAAGAGCGCACAAAATACAATGCAAGATATGATTTAAATGGTGATAACTTTGAAAAAAAAAATGTATTACCTTCTGTAGACGTCGGGGGCTTTTTCCTTGCTGCAAACTTTTAAACGTTTGTTTGCAAGTTAAACGTTTGTTTCCACCAACTGATTGTTATGAAAATTGACATATTAACTTAATAGGCCATGACACACATAAATAAACATTTAGTCTTCATAAATAACCTTGTAAAAACCCTTATTACACAATAAAATTGATGCTAATGTGAGGTGGGGTGGGGGGATGGGGGGAAAGAGCGTAATTGGGATTTGTTTGCATGATGATGGTGGCCGTAGAAAAGCAATTTCCAGCCTAGAGTTTCTGAAAAAAAATTATGCGTATGAATAGACATTTTCCATACAAACCGTATATGGATGATTATGGTTGCACCTTCTTCTATGGTGGACAACGCGGGACCTTGCACGCTATAGCGCCCCAGTCTAGTAACAAAAAACTATCGGAGACTAAAACGAGGGGACTATAATGTTTAGTTATAATGGTATAAAGAACCAAGTTGTGTTCCCTCCCCCTTCTAGCTTAAGATAATTGTAGTATAAGGAAACTTTGCATGACGAACAAGTTAATTAAATTATTTTACCTATAGTATATAATTAACCAAAATAAAACACTAGATAATTTTAAAGTACTCTGCAAGTGGAGTACTTGAAATAGTGGGCACGTGAATAAGACCCAAGAACCAAAAGGCTAGTGTAACCAAAAGTTACATTCATCAAAATTTGAACAAAAAAGTTCATCATCTATATTGCAAATCCTGGGTTCCTTAGTTATTGCAAAAAAAGTCAGTTCATCATCTATATTGCAAGTTCTGGGTTCCTTATTTATTGCAAAAAAAGTCAGTTCATCATCTTTATTGCAAATCCTGGGTTCCTTAGTTATTGCAAAAAAATCAGTTCATCATCTATATTGCAAATCCTGGGTTCCTTAGTTATTGCAAAAAAAAGTCAGTTAATCATCTTTATTGCAAATCCTGGGTTCTTTATTTATTGCAAAAAAATTCAGTTCATCATCTATATTGCAAATCCTGGGTTCCTTAGTTATTGCAAAAAAAAGTCAGTTCATCATCTATATTGCAAATTCTGGGTTCCTTAGTTATTGCAAAAAAAAGTCAGTTCATCATCTATATTGCAAATCCTGGGTTCCTTAGTTATTGCAAAAAAAAGTCAGTTCATCATCTATATTGCAAATTCTGGGTTCCTTAGTTATCGCAAAAAAGTCAGTTCATCATCTATATTGCAAACCCTGCGTTCCTTAGTTATTGCAAAGAAAAGTCAGTTCATCATCTATATTGCAAATCCTGGGTTCCTTAGTTATTGCAAAAAAAGTCAGTTCATCATCTATATTTTAAATCCTGGGTTCCTTAGTTATTGCAAAATAGTCAGTTCATCATTTATATTGCAAATCTTGGGTTCCTTATTTATTGCAAAAAAGTAAGTTCATCATCTATATTGCAAACCCTGGGTTCCTTAGTTATTGCAAAGAAAAATCAGTTCATCATCTATATTGCAAATCCTGGGTTCCTTAGTTATTGCAAAAAAAGTCAGTTCATCGTCTATATTGCAAATCCTGGGTTCCTTAGTTATTGCATAAAAAGTCAGTTAATCATCTTTATTGCAAATCCTGGGTACCTTATTTTATTGCAAAAAAAAATCAGTTCATCATCTATATTGCAAATCCTGGGTTCCTTAGTTATTGCAAAAAAAAGTCAGTTCATCATCTATATTGCAAATTCTGGGTTCCTTAGTTATCGCAAAAAAGTCAGTTCATCATCTATATTGCAAACCCTTCGTTCCTTAGTTATTGCAAAGAAAAGTCAGTTCATCATCTATATTGCAAATCCTGGGTTCCTTAGTTATTGCAAAAAAAGTCAGTTCATCATCTATATTGCAAATCCTGGGTTCCTTAGTTATTGCAAAATAGTCAGTTCATCATTTATATTGCAAATCTTGGGTTCCTTATTTATTGCAAAAAAGTAAGTTCATCATCTATATTGCAAACCCTGGGTTCCTTAGTTATTGCAAAGAAAAGTCAGTTCATCATCTATATTGCAAATCCTGGGTTCCTTAGTTATTGCAAAAAAAGTCAGTTCATCATCTATATTGCAAATCCTGGGTTCCTTAGTTATTGCAAAAAAAGTCAGTTAATCATCTTTATTGCAAATCCTGGGTACCTTATTTATTGCAAAAATAAAGTCAGTTCATCATCTATATTGCAAATCCTGGGTACCTTATTTATTGCAAAAATAAAGTCAGTTCATCATCTATATTGCAAATTCTGGGTTCCTTAGTTATCGCAAAAAAGTCAGTTCATCATCTATATTGCAAATCCTGGGTTCCTTAGTTATTGCAAAAAAAGTCAGTTCATCATCTATATTGCAAATCCTGGGTTCCTTAGTTATTGCAAAAAAAGTCAGTTAATCATCTTTATTGCAAATCCTGGGTACCTTATTTATTGCAAAAATAAAGTCAGTTCATCATCTATATTGCAAATCCTGGGTACCTTAGTTATTGCAAAAAAAAGTCAGTTAATCATCTTTATTGCAAATCTTGGGTTCCTTAGTTATTGCAAAGAAAAGTCAGTTCATCATCTATATTGCAAATCCTGGGTTCCTTAGTTATTGCAAAAAAAGTCAGTTCATCATCTATATTGCAAATCCTGGGTTCCTTAGTTATTGCAAAATAGTCAGTTCATCATTTATATTGCAAATCTTGGGTTCCTTATTTATTGCAAAAAAGTAAGTTCATCATCTATATTGCAAACCCTGGGTTCCTTAGTTATTGCAAAGAAAAGTCAGTTCATCATCTATATTGCAAATCCTGGGTTCCTTAGTTATTGCAAAAAAAGTCAGTTCATCATCTATATTGCAAATCCTGGGTTCCTTAGTTATTGCAAAAAAAGTCAGTTAATCATCTTTATTGCAAATCCTGGGTACCTTATTTATTGCAAAAATAAAGTCAGTTCATCATCTATATTGCAAATCCTGGGTACCTTATTTATTGCAAAAATAAAGTCAGTTCATCATCTATATTGCAAATTCTGGGTTCCTTAGTTATCGCAAAAAAGTCAGTTCATCATCTATATTGCAAATCCTGGGTTCCTTAGTTATTGCAAAAAAAGTCAGTTCATCATCTATATTGCAAATCCTGGGTTCCTTAGTTATTGCAAAAAAAGTCAGTTAATCATCTTTATTGCAAATCCTGGGTACCTTATTTATTGCAAAAATAAAGTCAGTTCATCATCTATATTGCAAATCCTGGGTTCCTTAGTTATTGCAAAAAAAAGTCAGTTAATCATCTTTATTGCAAATCTTGGGTTCCTTAGTTATTGCAAAATAGTCAGTTCATCATTTATATTGCAAATCTTGGGTTCCTTATTTATTGCAAAAAAGTAAGTTCATCATCTATATTGCAAACCCTGGGTTCCTTAGTTATTGCAAAGAAAAGTCAGTTCATCATCTATGTTGCAAATCCTGGGTTCCTTAGTTATTGCAAAAAAAGTCAGTTCATCATCTATATTGCAAATCCTGGTTTCCTTAGTTATTGCAAAAAAGTCAGTTAATCATCTTTATTGCAAATCCTGGGTACCTTAGTTATCGCAAAAAAGTCAGTTCATCATCTATATTGCAAACCCTGCGTTCCTTAGTTATTGCAAAGAAAAGTCAGTTCATCATCTATATTGCAAATCCTGGGTTCCTTAGTTATTGCAAAAAAAAGTCAGTTAATCATCTTTATTGCAAATCTTGGGTTCCTTAGTTATTGCAAAATAGTCAGTTCATCATTTATATTGCAAATCTTGGGTTCCTTATTTATTGCAAAAAAGTAAGTTCATCATCTATATTGCAAACCCTGGGTTCCTTAGTTATTGCAAAGAAAAGTCAGTTCATCATCTATGTTGCAAATCCTGGGTTCCTTAGTTATTGCAAAAAAAGTCAGTTCATCATCTATATTGCAAATCCTGGTTTCCTTAGTTATTGCAAAAAAGTCAGTTAATCATCTTTATTGCAAATCCTGGGTACCTTATTTATTGCAAAAAAAAGTCAGTTCATCATCTATATTGCAAATCCTGGGTTCCTTAGTTATTGCAAAAAAAGTCAGTTCATCATCTATATTGCAAATCCTGGGTTCCTTAGTTATTGCAAAAAAAGTCAGTTCATCATCTATATTGCAAACCCTGGGTTCCTTAGTTATTGCAAAGAAAAGTCAGTTCATCATCTCTATTGCAAACACTGGGTTCCTTAGTTATTGCAAAAAAAGTCAGTTCATCATCTATATTGCAAATCCTGGGTTCCTTAGTTATTGCAAAAAAAGTCAGTTAATCATCTTTATTGCAAATCCTTGGTTCCTTATTTATTGCAAAAAAAGTCAGTTCATCATCTATATTGCAAATCCTGGGTTCCTCAGTTATTGTAAAAAAAAAGCCAGTTCATCATCTATATTGCAAATCCTGGGTTCTTTAGTTGTTGCAAAAAAATCAGCTCATCATCTTTATTGCAAATCCTTGGTTCCTTATTTATTGCAAAAAAAGTCAGTTCATCATCTATATTGCAAATCCTGGGTTCCTCAGTTATTGTAAAAAAAAGCCAGTTCATCATCTATATTGCAAATCCTGGGTTCCTTAGTTATTGCAAAAAAAAGTCAGTTCATCATCTATATTGCAAATTCTGGGTTCCTTAGTTATCGCAAAAAAGTCAGTTCATCATCTATATTGCAAACCCTGCGTTCCTTAGTTATTGCAAAAAAAAGTCAGTTAATCATCTTTATTGCAAATCCTGGGTACCTTATTTTATTGCAAAGAAAAGTCAGTTCATCATCTATATTGCAAATCCTGGGTTCCTTAG